ATCCTTGGGTTCCTTTAAATCAGAGCTAGATAAGATTTTAACAACTCTGATCTATTAGTTAAGTTCTCCCCAAGCAAGCTCGATGGGCCGAATGGCCTCCTCTCGTTTGTATAGTTCTTATGTTCTTATGCTCTAAGGCCACAGTATCTCTGTCAAGGCATTAATTCCAGTTTGAGTTTCTTATCATTTAAAATGGATCTTGATTTTAAAACGGGTTTAAAAACTACTGTTTGTGCATATAAGCAATTGTTGAAATATGCTTAAGATGAAATTTATTTGTATGTCATGTTGATATACAAATAAATGTCAATATTAGAAATAATAAAATAGACACTTGGATTAATTGCATGTAATTCAAATCCATTTATATTGTCATTTACATGTTCTGCTGTATTATTTTTGTACGGCATTCAAGACGAACCACGTGGGAGAAATGTCAGCACCACATCCTGTCCATACACTTCAAAGGACTTGTCCTCGCTGTCAGCAAACGCGATACCAAGCACACAGATCGAGATCATGGTGGTAGGGGAAGTGAATGTCTAGTACTACAAGGAAACAGCCTTGCTGTGTTTAAAATGTCCACCTCGCTTGTCCGCTGTTTCCTGCGTTGTTCTCTCTTGATATGGACGTTATCAGTGGGTAAGTCTGCCACCTTTCCCATTTCACCTCTTTTCACTCTAACCAGTGTAGAAATGTTTACGGTGTTAGAAACAAATTTCACCAAAATGTATGACCAAGCTGAGGTGATATTTATGTTGTTCATAATGGTGTTTAGGGCTCATGTGGAAAATGCTGAATGATATTTTGGGTCCATGCTTATGTTAATACTATTACAGGTACAGTGTGAATGACTCAGATCTTTTCTTGCAAAACATTCTATTCACCTCAGGTTGTTTTTTTATTGTGTGAAAATTAAACCAGTGTTTATGAATTACAAAGAAGCTCACAAAATAGATTTTTTAAATCTATTTTGTGAAGCCCTATATAGCTTCCTTTAAATTAATTGTCTAGTTAAATTTCTACTGTCATATTTATGCATAAGTACCAGTTTTCTGTTTATATAATGTCTGCTGTATTTTTTTTCTGAAGTGCTTCTGAAGTTGCCCACTGGACAGTGTTTGCAAGTCATGAATGGTGCTGTTGGGGAATCAGCTGTTCTGTCAGGGACAAATGACTCGGTCCGGGTAACAAATCTGCAGTGGGTGAAAGGTAAAATTATCATGCAAAGGCTTCAGGGAAATATAACTATTTATAACCAAACCTATGAAGGGAGACTCACCCTGAGTGAGAAACACGGGTCTCTAACCATCAACCCTCTGATAAAAAGCGACAGTGGAGAATATACCTTTGAATCCATCCCACCGCCATGGCCAACAGAGAGACATGTGATACAACTTAATGTTTATGGTAAGGAAAATGTCACAGAACCCAATACCTAACTGTCTTGTGAGCTTCTATGAGCAGGGTTAGGTTTGCTAGCTGAATATACTGTATATTAATATATCTATGAACAGTGAAAATAGAGCTGGTACATTAGCTATTGCGGCATGATGAACAGTGAAAACAGAGCTGGTACATTAGCTATTGCGGCATGATGAACAGTGAAAACAGAGCTGGTACATTAGCTATTGCGGCATGATGAACAGTGAAAACAGAGCTGGTACATTAGCTATTGCGGCATGATGAACAGTGAAAACAGAGCTGGTACATTAGCTATTGCGGCATGATGAACAGTGAAAATAGAGCTGGTACATTAGCTATTGCGGCATGATGAACAGTGAAAACAGAGCTGGTACATTAGCTATTGCGGCATGATGAACAGTGAAAACAGAGCTGGTACATTAGCTACTCAGACATGATGCTTGGAGAATCTGTTCATGTCTCTGTTGGTGGTGTGAACAGACAGAATCGTGTCCGTGGAGATGGACCCGCAGGTGAGCTACAGCCCAGACAACAGCACCTGTACCGTGACTCTGAGCTGCACGGTGAAAGGCAGCGTGGTGGAGCTCTCCTGGTCTAAGGACCGTAAGAAGATCCCTGATACGGAGGGGAAGGAGACCCTGGTGGTGACTCCCACGGCTGGAGAGGAGCTCTATTCCTGCACGGCCTCCAACCCTGTCAGCTCCCAGACCGCGAGTCTGAGGGTCTCCTCCTGTCAAACACACGGTATGGTGAGGGGAAGAGTCACAGCTCCTTATGAATCTGCGTCAGACTCAGAGTCCCTGCATCAGTCTTGACTCCCAGGCACATGCCTCTATAGCAGGACTCACTAATGGCTGATAGATTCATTAATGATGATTATAAGGAAACACTTATGACATTCATTTATAACTAGAATGTTAAACATGTCAAGATTTTGTTAGCAAATAACCAGTGCATGTTGGTTTGTGCAGTGTGGTTCTTTTTTGCACATTGGAGGTCTGTATTTTAAAACTATATTATTTTTGTAATTAACCGTTGCCTTTTATGTTATCATGATATTATAGTTTCCCTGGATACCAGCATATATGCGCTTGCTGGCACTGGAGCTCTGTTTGTGCTGGTATTGGCGATCATAGGACGCATCTTCCAAGTCAGAGCCAAGAGGAAAGGTATGAGGGGGAAATGGGAACAGGGCAGGACCTGCAGGTCAACTGAAGGGTTTAGCTGAACTCTGTTTTGTATCCCATACAGCTCTGATTGTGTGATCATACATTTTTTATTTCCTCTCATAGTAACAAAAGAAAACACAGTGTATGCTGAAGTCAACAAGCAGCATATCAGAGTAAATAGGACACAGGTGAGGAGAGTGACAGCTTTGGCAGTTATTAATTTCAGCAATCGGTGCCTTTCTGTGCAAAACAGTAAATTTAAAAATGTGAACTAGGATTTATTGATTTTCTATTTATGCGTGTAAGCCAGAGACTATGCAATAAAATTTAAATTGCTGTTTCAAATATTAGGTCTTGTCACCTCTTTCTATGAATTACAAATATCTGTAATTATCAAGTCGAGTCATGTCATTGTCATTTCACACATGCAGTCAGGATCTGCGTCATGGAGGGGGGGGCTTTGGAAGGCCATGCCCCCCAAATGAACCATAGTCCATAGTGACCCCCCCCCCACAGCCTACCAGCGCCTCACACTAAGGACACCCCCTTTTAATATATTTTAATTTTTTCATTTAAAGGTGTTCATCCTAAAAGAAATAAGCCAATCTGGTCTGTCGATCTCTAGCTAGGGATCATCTGCTTGTCCGACGCTTCGCCACCCCGCGTCAACAACTTTCACGCTCAGCTAGCGCCGAGTAGTAGGCCTATATTGAATTTTTATGGTATATCGATATATTTTAAAATGACATAATGCCTTTTATACTGATATACAGTCGTCCCTTGCCATTTCGCACTTCGACTTTCGCGGCTTCACTCTATCGCGGTTTTTTCAAATACATTTATTCATTAAAAAGTTGATAGACAGTGAAAATGATACAGCGCGCGCTCGGTTGTCTGAGTCAATTATACACCTCNGTCAATTATACACCTCTGTATTACAATTAAAATTAAAATTACTGTACGTATGGACTGTAGGCCTATGTATTCGAGCACCCCCGCAAATCCTTCAACGCCAGGTGCAGCCGAATAATAAAGAAATAAAGAATCCTACTTCGCGGAAATTCATTTAACGCGGTACAGTCTGGAAGGGATTAACCGCGATAAACGAGGGGCGACTGTACTTTAGTTGCGTGCTTTAGGGCCGAATGGCCTCCTCTCATTTGTATAGTTCTTATGTTCTTATGCTCTAAGGCCACAGTATCTCTGTCAAGGCATTAATCTATTAGATTTTTAATAGAAACGAAAAGTATTCCTTCCTGGTTGCAAAGAAAGCAAATTCAGTTATCAGCGTCTCACGGGGAAGATGGTGGTGGGCCAAGGTAAGGAATCATTGTTACTTGGTTCATTTCATGTTAAACCACTGACAAATAGCTCACACATTATAAATATAGTAATTTGCAATTAAAAAAAAATATGTGTGTGTATTGCTATTCTGCTATTCCTAAAAATATTGAAATATGGCTTTCGGTCCATCATATTCCCCAACCCCATGTGCACCCTCCCCCACCATGAAAATCTGTCATAAAGTCCGTCCGACTTGTTTCAACTTAAAACTTGCAATTATATCTGCAATATCTGCAATTATATGTATATGTGGTATATCACATTAATTGCTAAGGCGTGCGATTTAAAAAGTTTAACATACATACATTCCTTACTTATAGTACTATAATTCTTATAATACTATATATATATATATATATATATATATATATATATATATATATATATATTGTACTTGCTTGCTAGAAATGAATGAATGTTTGTTTTAGAAATGAATGAATGTACATCACAAATTAAACCATTGAACAAATATTCAAATGTGGATCATTGTCATGATCTTGAACATTTTCCAAAAAGAAATGTTATACTGAAATACAGTATTTTTGTGTTAATATATATTATTACAGAAATAAATGGTAATATAATAAAGCTGATTAACTACTCTAGAGGCAAAATCGACAGTTTAAACAATGAAGTTGTGTAATTTGAGTATGTCTAATTTTAAAAATCAGGGCAAAGTAATGTGTTATAGTAATATAAACATTTATTCTGTTCTCCAAAAAGTTCCTGATATCTTGTTGGACGGCTAGACAACACACAGTTTCCACATTTCAGTTCCCAAACCTCTCCTCAGGGGCACCTCAGCCATTCCATGTATTCATTAAATTTCACCACCAGTTCACTTAACCTAATTAGATAACATGATGAGGTACTAATTAGTCAAACATCGTATGCTAATAATTCAGTCAGCAAACAAATCGGAATATTGGTTACTGTAAAAACTGTGGTGACTTAAGGAGATGTTTTGAAATAGCTAAGATAACATATTTTGACAAATATAATGTCATAGTTTTACACCAAAATTAAAATGATAAAAACATAAGAAAACACTGTACTTGCTGCTGTCTGCACAAGATTTTCCCTCTGGGATAAATAAAGTTCATCTAATCTAATCTTATTCATTTTCACTGTCTAAGATTTCTGAACAGTACCCTGTGTATGAGTGTCTGTGAGTGCATGCCTTTGATATATGAGAAAAAAAACGAGGCATACATTAAAGTGCAATTCTAATACTAATCCTTTATAACTCTGGTCTAATATAACGTGTGTTTTTTGTGTGTAGGACATTGGCTCGAGACAGGCTTCACCATCTGCAAATATATCCACCTGCTATGACGTTTTGCAAAGCACATCCGTAAGTGAAACAGTATGAACAAATCTCGAGACTGTTGCATGCTTCATATCCAAAGATGGGTACTGATATTAGTTGGTGTTAAGTATGAAATATGAAGAAATTAGTGCAAATTAAAAGTACAAAAAAAGTACAAAATACTTATTATTTTTAAGTATTTGAGGTCGAATCTTGTACAAGCTGCAGCAGGAAATGAAGCGGTTCTGCTAACCGCAAAAGACAAGTCGGCAGTAGTCTCTGCTATAGCCTGTTTATGAGTGTGGCAGGAAATTAACTGCTGCATGAAGGTTTTAAAGTAAACAAACTAACAGTGGACATTTTGAAGTCCACTTTTAGCCTACACTGAAAAGAAAAAACGCATGACAAAAGACTTATTTAATTATTTTAGATCGAATCCAGTGTAGGTTCTTTTGAAACAGTAGCTGGATATGTACAGCAATGAGATTATTTTTTTTATTCAATCCAAGCTGATTTACTACAGATCATCACAGCCTCTTTGGTGACTCATTGGACAGTTTGAAATGTTTGATAATATGGATGTTAAGCAGAAATTGCAGACTTTTAAGGAGATTTGATGTATGAATAGAGAATAATAACCTTGGATGATTTCATTTATTTTATTACAGAGCTATATTTACCAAAAGCAGATCTAATGTTACTCTTTTGTGATGTTGAAGTAGCTTAATGTGGTCCCTTTTTCCAGGATATTGGCTCTAGACAGGAAGCAACGTGTGGGGATGCATCTACCTGTTATGAATTATTGAAAAGTCCATCAGTAAGTGAAAAAGCAGTTTGCAAAAACCTCCTGACTGACGCATTGGTCATACAAAGCTAAATATAGATTAAGGGAGATGGTGAGAAAGAAAGGAGCACAATTAAGCTAAAAGCAGTGTCATGAAGACCTGGTTTATTCTCAGGTTCGCACCATATTTTTTATATACAGTGGTACCTCAGAACTCGAAATTAATCTGTTCAGAACTCCGAACCAAATCCTAAAAAGTTCCAGTTCTGATCGAATTTTCCCCATAAGAAATAATGGAAAACCAATTAATTGGTTCCCGGCTCCAAAAAATTACACCGAAATATGTTTTAAACACAAAATGAACCGGACAAAACAAGAAGAGCATATACTGTACTAGACACATCTAACCACATTTATCAAAACAGTAATTTTTAAAGTAAGAAAATAAATGTATCCAAACAATGTGTTCTGCACCGATCGTCCGCCCCTTCCGTGTGCCGCGCCCCCTAGTTAACCTCGTGTATAATTCCCGTGTGATCAGCTGTTTCTGGTTGTTGTCATTAGCCCTCTGTATTTCGTCCGCATTTCAGTTTGTTTCCCCAGTCCGGTCATTGTATTGTCCGCCTGCGTTTTGTCTGCCTTACCTGTAATTAAACCCCGTATTCCCCGATACCCTGACATCGGCGCCTTTGTCTCCGTTCTGTCCTGTCTCCGCTGGGCATGACAATATTATTATAATTAAATCTATTAATGGTTTATTATTAATATTAAAATAATTAATAAAACATCTTTATTTTTAAATGTATTTTATTATATAATAAATACTGTTACTGTCAATCATTGTCTAAATGTATTTTTACTGTCTATATGTATTCAGCTAGTGTAAACATGCATGATGCTATCACAGCGAATGCGAGGCTGAGACTGAAGCGTTACCCTTTGTTTCTGCTGAGAAATGTGCCGCGTGACTCATTTCCCCGTGCATACAAGTTATCTTAGGTCGGCGTTCACATTTTGACTTCTGAGATTCAGATTGAGTTCTAGGTAATTTTTTTTCGAATTGGTTGGCCCGACTTTTAAGAAATTCAAGTTCTAATGAGTTTGAGAACTGAGGTACCACTGTAGATATATGCGGTTCAAACCTCATAAATCACAGATTGACAAGACATTTTCCATCACTGCATCTCGCTGCTCTTGTGTAATTCAGAACAAACTATCTAAACGGCTTTTTCATTTTGTCTGAAACAGGTCGTCCCCTCTGGAATATCGACGATATATGAAACTGTGAAATTTGTCCACGGCGCCCCACCAGCTGCAGTAACCCAGTGTCCTTAGAAAAGATCTTTCCCCTGACATTCAGCTCTGTATTTACATTCACTTCCTTTGCTGATCCTTTTGCCAGCAAGGACTTTATATTCACTCATGGCAATTTTACAGGATTCAAACCAACAACCTCTAAGAGCTCTCGCTGCCTGCCTTTTCAGTGGATTTGTTTTATATACTGTAAATGTATCAACACCGGGATGTTTTGCGGCTGCTGAAGGGAAAAACCCACAGAGTTCTTCTGAAATAGGAACAGAGCTCAGTATAAGTCAGTTTGAAATGGGAACATGCAGATTACTTTCAAAACCTTATGTTTCAGTAATATGTCTTTGGAAAAAAATGACCAGGTTATTGTAATCTATTTAACTAAATAAAGGGTTTTTAACCATTTCTGTAAGCTTCTGCATGGCTGTTGGTCTAATATCCTTTGCAGTGTTAAAAGAGGAGCGTATAGGTTAGTTAATTTGTCATTCTCAGTTTTTAAAATGGAATAAAATTGCAAAGCCTACCTCTAAATGGGACTGATCTGCTGTTGTATTTATATGAATCTGACAAAATACATTTTCCATAATTATGTATTTATTCAAGGAATAATTAATCTAACCACAGTGAGTGAATAAAACATGTTTTGGTTACCCTAAAAACTTGGCTACCCAGAGATGCTTAGAATGTAATGCCTTTTATTTATTTATTAGCTATAATTCTCCTTTCCTCCTCTCCCTCATGTGTTGCCCTTGTCTTGTTTACAGCCTCTATACTTAATGTATATATACTGTACTGTGGTCCTGGGGAATGTTATTTAATGCCAATGTTTGACTGGCAGATGTGGACCCTTCGCTGACCGAGGTATCGTGGCAATGGTGGCGAAGGACAAGAGGAGATGGTTTCTCATGAAGTTGCTGTTAAAAGTACTTCAAAGGTCCGGGCAAAACAACACAGAATGGCCGATAAACACGGGGAAGTTATGTTAAGGACAGTAAAGCACATGTGGTCACGAACTGTTGTGCAGAATGTATAACTAGTGTGGCCAAAGTCCAAACTAGTGCAGGAAAGCAGGCTTGATATCAAGGACATCAGAATAAATGCTCAAACACTTTTGCTGAACTTGTAAGGCGTAGTCGTCGACTGGTATACTATAGTATACTACTGTATTGGACATTCAGGAGGAGTCCATTCACTTAGTTGGAAATACGAATTTTACTTGTGTTTCACTCATCCTGTATCCTGAAGCTTGAATTAAAAGATTTGTTTTTGTGGGGTCAATATCTTTCTCCTGTTATCTTTTGGCATTTTAGTGGGCATTTAATTTTTCATGCGAGAAAATACGTTGAAGATGACCTGAATATTATTGATTGCTTATTGATTGATTGGCGCGTATAATTCTCAAATGAGAAAACGGGACTTCGGAAGATCATTCTACACATCAACCTGTTCACTTACCTTCAGACTATTTTCTATAAGTTCACAATGACATTTTAACAGTTTTCATAAGGATGATTGGCTCCAGTTATGTCCATTTCATCTTTATTGCACTTATTTCTGATTAAGATCTAATTCTATGTCCAGATTCTATAAAAATCTACATCTATGGTTTATTATAAGCACATGGCATCGCTCTGTTTTTGTCTAGTTTGGTGTCTCATATTTGAAATGAAGCAGTTTTGTTTTAGCAAACGTGTTCAATAGAAACTGATTACACATCTTTGTGTTTCACTGTTAAAAAGAAAATTAATAAAGCAAGAAGTAAATAACAACAAAAACATAAAAATGATTTAATACCTTTTAGGTTCATTTTCATGCTTTATTCTGCATGGATTACCAGCTAGGGGCAAGCAGCTAATGACAGTATAATGACTTTATAGGGTTACATTTTGGCTGGGTGGAGCTTTTGCTAGAGCCAATAGGAAGCTTCAATGTTTGCCACTTTCCTGCCTCCTAATTAGAATTTTATGCAGCTAGTACCACTAGTGCAGGGGTGGGCATCTTATCCAGAAAGGGCTGCTGTATATGCAGGTTTTTGCTGCAATTCCCTAATTAGAGGACTGATTGGCTGAAGATTGATTTGATCAGCTGAAAAACCTGCACACACACACTACACAAACGGACCCAGGTGGAGACTTGAACCCAGGTCCCAGAGGCGTGAGGCAACAGTGCTAACCACTGCACCACCATGCCCCCCCATTACTAAAAGTATTCCCTAAAAAAGTAGAGCTACTAAAACAAGTAGCAACTCAACTAAGAAAACGCAGGTTGTGTAATGACTTCCATTGTTAAAACCTGCAAAAAACAGACAAAAAGAATTAATGACATGCTGCTGTTAAACATTACATTCTAACACAGAACGTAGTTTATACTGACATGCATTGTTCATCTCCTAATGGCTATAAATTAGGGCTGAATAATAGCTGCCCATTACCTTCACAGTAGTCTTTGATAGAGATGCTGCTGCTGTTAGAGCTGGCAAAGTTGCTGCTAATGCAGGAAATTATTTTCCGCTGAGCTGAGATGTAGAGGTCAGGAGAGCTGCCCTTCTTGGTCTCTGTACATGAAGAGGTGCCAGATGTGATGTTGCACTCTGCCTCCACCGAGTGGTTGTCGAAGGAAATGCACATTACGTTCACTAAGCAGAATCCAGTCCCGGGCGACGCATTCAACACCTTCAGCTCTGGTTTTTTGATCTTTTCTGTTAAGAGACAAAGAACGGATTATCTGAAGGACTGTCCGTAGAATTAAGAAATGAAGTAAGACGTTTACGATGCCTAATGATATATAAACATACTCCTGCAATATTCAAAAATATCTTCACAAAAATTGATCTTTTAAAGGCAGTATTTTACTAATTTGTCATAAGAAATAGAGGCTTATTATCTGTTAATATTGAAGGAAAGAAACATCTGGCATTATTGAACATGATCAGTAAAAAAGTCTCACATACCAACCACAATGAGTCTTATTTCTTCACTGATCTCAGGCGATGTACTCATTATTGTAACTTTGTAATTCCCATTATCATTTACACATAGGTTGAAGATCTGAAGGGATCCATCTGTTTTATTCAGCTGAAACTTATTTTCCTGTGGGTAATTAAGTTCTCCTGGATTATTATAAAATAAGAACATTGTTCCATTGTGGCGCCATTGAATCTGTGTAGGGTTGAGAGGAGGGGAGCTGTGGCGTAACCTTGCAGATTCACTGACTGCACCATAGATGGTCTTTGTTGTCCCTAAAATGATAAAAAAAAAAAAGTTATTAAAGTAAGTAAACAAAATTTACAAAAAGTTTAAAATATAAAATTAAATTAAAGAAATAGAGAAACACGCATCACATAAAACCAGAAGCCATGGAAGCACCCCTAATATGGATGGGCGGACTGTCCCAAAGCTTAGGTGTTGCAGTGGCTAAAGCACAATCACCCTTTGTTTTTAACCTTGTCCTAGGAACTGCCAGAAGAGACCTCTGGTGGCCTCGTGGATCTCAAGGTGGTGTATGTGCATAGAAGATCGATTATATAAGATGGGGCTAATCCATGTAGAGATTTAAAAGTAAATAATACAATCTTAAACTGGATCCTGAACTCCACCGGAAGCCAATGCAGGGAGGCTAGTACCAGTCAATAGGCAGGCAGCAGCGCTTTGCACTAATTGTAAATGTGTTAAGTGTGACTGACTGACACTGTATAATAGTTACAGTAATCCAAACGGGATGTGATGAAAAAATAACTTTCTCAAAATTGTGAAAGGAGAGAAATTATTTGATTTTAGAAATCATCCTTAAATAAAAAAGCTAACTTTACCATTCCTGGCCGCACGCCCGAGGTACCTGCTGAGGTGCCCCCTGCTGACGCCGCCGCTCTGTCCGCGGCCGTGGCCGTCCAGCCCGGCTCGCCCGTCCTGCCTATCTCTCCCGCTGCACCACCTGCCGCCACTCCTGCGGCATCCCCTGTGGCCCCTGCTGTGCCTGAGACGGCACCGCCCGAGGCCCCTGTCCTTGAGGAGGGCCCTAACGGTGGCTCTGAAGCTCCTCCCTCCGTAGTGGACTTGGAGGGGGAGCTTGAGTGGGACCCCTCGGGGATTGCCCTGACTGCCCCAGTGACTGCCCCTCTGGCTTCCCCCGTGACTTTCCCCGTGGCTATCCCCGTGACTCCTCCACTGTCACCCCAGTGTGACAGACCCCGGCCGGGTCCCCGCCTCTCAGTCTCCCGGAAGGGGAGGGGACACCTGTGCCGGGGCTGGGTCCCGCCCGGCCTGCCCCCTCTCTTGCCCTCGCCCGCCTTGGCTGGGGCTCTGGGATCGCCTGCTGCGCCTCCGGCTCAGGGTCGGTAGTCGCCTTCGGGCTCCTTTTTGTCCCCCGTCCGTTCCTGTCTGGTCTCCCCTGTCTACTCCTCCTCCCTTCGTCCCGCCTGTGTCTGCTCCTCGTCCCTCTGTTCCTCCCCCGTTCGCTCCTTTTGTTTCTCCGTTCTTTGTGCCCTCTGTCTCTCCCTTTCTTGTGTGTCTCTCTGCCTTTCCCATTTGTGTCAGGTTTTGTCTTGGCTTTTGCCCTTGTGTCTGTTCTGTGTGTCTGTTCTGTTCCCGGTCCCTCGTTGATGTTTTGGGTTTTGTTTTTCAGGTCCTGTTCCCCGGTCTCGTCTCGTCCGTCGCCTCCCCTGGGGCGCGCCCGGTGTGCGCGCCTTTGGGGGGGAGGGTTCTGTCACGCCCAGCTCCGTACGATCCTCGTGTGTGCCACGCCCACCTCGTTACCTCGTGTTATTTCCTAATTGTTATCACCTGTTTCCTATTTGATTTTGACTTGTCTTGTGTATTTAGTCCACGTCTGTGTTAGTATCCCCAGTCCGGTCATTGATGTTGTATTATTGCGTGCCTTGTCTTAAATTAAACCCCGTGTTCTCGATCCCTGGCTTCCTGCCCATTTGTCTGCGCTCCAGGCGCTACGCAGTGTGACAACCGGTGTCCTGTCGAAAAATACTACCTATCGAGACGTGCTATCGAGCCTTTCTGCGCATGTGCAGTTCCACCGTCTTGGGATTAGGGTTAGGTTTTAGGGGTTAGGGTTAGGGTTAAGGTAAGGGTTTTAGGGGTTTTGGGTGGTTAGGGTTAGGGTTAGGGTAAGAGTTAGGGTTAGGGCTATCGATTAGCACTACGGTAGCATTTTTCGACAAGGCAGCATATATCGACAGAACACCGGACGATGAAACACGTACAGTACGTTGATCTGCGGCCCATAGTAAATGAGTGTGATGCTGATAGTAAAGTGTGATCAATGTATTTAATAATAAAAAAAAAAATGTATGAACGTTGAAAAATGCACAAATAAGATGAATTACTAAAGACTCAGCTATCTAGCGCAAGGTAGGATAGATCGATAGGCGGTTCTTCAAGCATGTGAAAACGGGCGTGATTTCGTTGTGCGGAAGCGTTGGACCAACGGTAGTACGTTTTAATAGGATTCATCACTGTGGTGAAGTATACGTTTTTATTGTTTTAATAAAAGACACTTTTTGGGAGTATTTCATGTGTCCATTCTAACTGATTCTCGCTAACTCATTGCATGGCTTTAGTGGTTTTAATGAGTTGCACGGTTGGTATACACATTCAAGGGAGTGCAAAGATGGGTGGAGTGCGTGATCGTATGTGGTGGGCCGGTCTGGCCAAAATGCCAGGACCGATTTTTTGTCCCAGTCCGTCCATGCATGTCTGTATTGTTTAGGTTTATCCTTGCCATCACGCTGCAGCAAATAGCAAGTCGGCTAGTATAGTGGGATCGCAGAGGTATTGCGTGGGAACGCAAAACTATAGTGAGGGAACGAAAAAACTATTTCAAAAAATATTTCCCACCCTAACCTCTTAGGGACTATATACAAAATAAGCAAATAGAGCAAATATATTAAGTATGTAATGGTGACCCTGCCGCAAGCTTCGTTCTTTAGGAGGTTAGAGAAGTTTGTTTGTTTATTTCAAACGTGCCCAAATAAAAAATAAAACGTGCTTCCCCTGTTTGAAAGACCACCGGCCGCCACTGGCATACGTGTACGCGTTGTGAAAGTTAAGTATAAATCTTAGAAAACCGTCAGGACCAGGACTCTGTAGAGTGTACACACATGGGAACACCCCAGTATACTCAGCACACTTAACATTAACATTAACGTTTACATTTACATATTTAGCAGAACCTTTTGTCCAAAGTGACGTGCAAGACTTTCTAGTCCTTTTATGGTGTTTTCTGACATCATTCTACCTGACATGTGGACACTGGAAGAGGAACTTTTTAGTTTTACTTCTAAGTAAGCCAAATGCAGCCCAAAATTGTAGATGAATCTTATTTTGGGGCAGGGGATTTTGGGCCCCATGAAAACATATGATATTGGGCCTCTAACCCAGACTGATATAATTATGTTCCAGGTTTTTTAGGGCCCTTGGAATCATCCTAACTTTCCTTTACTTCTCCCCTGATCTTGGGTACAGGGCAGTGCAGCCCTCAAAAGGAAGGCACTTTCAATCGTTTGGGCAGGCTGAGTATAAAGTTTGATGGGATGCCAATATATCTTGGGCCAGATACACACACACACACAAGACCAAACTACATAAGTAACTTTGAGCCTGACAGCATGTCTGTGAGAGGAAGTGCTCAGGAAACCCTGTGTGGGGAGAGGAGAGCATGTGCACTGCACAGAGCTAAAAGTGAAAGACAGTTCTGCTGCCTTCCGAGCCACAGTTTTACATTATACTATTTCAAAACTTAGAGACATAAAGCACTTAAAATAAAAGCGAAACTGATTAGATTTTCATGGTTTAAAACTCAGAGCCAGCTCAGATGTAAATTGTTTCAGCAATAAGACTCTTGCCTACATTACGTTCCTAAGGCAATCTGAAAATTTTCAAATCAACTTATCACTTTTGTCTTTAAACAAAGTGTTTTCTTTCATTTTATAATGTGGAAAGTGCCACAATCACATTTTATCACAAATTTAATCTTGAAAAATATATTATACAGTATTTTGATTAAATATGATTAATCACACACATTAAATGACATGAGAAATGTTTCATTTTTGCCAGGATCTGTCTCTAGCTGGCCCTGTCTGTTTCCCTAGTCTTCTGCGCTTCATGAGTCTTTATCTGTTTCCCTGCTTTCCTGGTCCACTCCCTGGTTGGATGGGCTGAGTGTGTAGCTGTGATTCAAGCATCTCCCCCCATTGTGGGTTTGAGGCTGGCCAGAGGCTAGCTGGCTTAGTAATTGTTCCTTTTTCCTGCATTTGCTAGACCGCTTGTGTTTCCTGTTCTGTTTTTAATAAACTCCTCAGTGTTATGAAGCCGCACCATGGATCGTCCCCATCGTGCTGCACCGTGGCACATTTTTGTTAGATAGTACACATTTAGGAAATTTTGTTATTTTGCCTGTTCTCCAATGGCCCAAACATCATGACAGTTTCAGTTCTGTAAGACCGTTTTATTTTTACTCATTCTTTGTAAGGTGTCCCTTCACTTGTTTTATAGCTCGTATATTATGTAATTACTGAAACTTTGATGAACTTACCTGAATTGCACGATGATACACACAAGAGACACAGCAGCCATACGTTGATAGCAGCCATCTTCTTTACGGAAAGGAAGGAAGGAAGAGGCGCACTTGTGTTCAATGTTTGAAATTTGTAAATGTTCAGAATCACGTATATTTCAAGAATAATTTATAAAGTTCCACATAAAAAGAAAAAAACACAATGTGAAAAAAGAAATTTACAGTTTTGAACTGCCTTCAATCGATAATCTGTCGTACACGTTTTTTGTGGTTTTCTTAGGTGATTTCCTACACTCACTGGGTTGCGTCACAGTTTCTGCATGGCGGCCAAATTACAGTATTACTATATATATTTATACATTTTGTCAAATTCAGGGGTGATGTATTTTCCCAAATATACAAAGCCTGTTGGGGACCATCTGAAGGGAAAGGGACATAGAGTTTTAGGTCAATACCTTAAGCTGCGCAGGTTATTGCATCCAAAGAGACAACCAGACCATCTGTTGACTGCTGATGAATTGATTTGTGCTTAGCAATCTGCACAGATTATTGCATGAGTTACGACCTTTAATAAAACCAGCTTGGTCCTCATTGATAAGCATGGGGAGTAAGCTCTCCAGCTCTGAGGCTGTACTTTGGAAAGAATTTTCAGGTCTACATTATGTAAAGAGATTAGCCTATAGGAGGTACAATCCTCTGGTTGCTTTCCTTTTATAGCCTCCCTCAAAGACATTGGCAGGATACCTCTTTCAAATGAGTCTTTAAGCATGTTTAGCAGGGGGTCAACTAAGAGGTCCTGAAACACTGTGTAGAACCCACTGCTTAGCCCATCTGGCCCAGGTGCTTTTCCAGCTTGCAACCCACTAATAGCCTTCAACACTTCTTCTCTAGATATGGGGCAATTAAGAGTAAGTTTCTGTTCCTGTAATGGAGAGAGAAGGTTAAGGGAAGAGAAAAAGGTATCCATTTAGTCTGAGGAATCCTGTTGTAGCTCTGAGTTATACAATTTTTCATAGAAAATTTTTCATAGAAAATTTTAAAAGTGTTATTAACGATTACGCTATCAAATTTTATAGTCTGATTTTTTTCTTTGTTAAATAAGCGAAGTATCTCCCTGCTTTATCACCCTGTTCATATAATCTCTGTTTAGCAAATCTGATTTTCCCTTCTGTATGTTTTGTTAAGAGGCAGTCTAAAGCTGAGCGAAGAGCAAATATTTCTTTAAATCTCTTTGGAGAGGGGCTTTTAAGATAGCCACTTTAAGTTTAGATTCCAAGATATCCTTTTGTTCATCCTGTATGCATCTCTTACTGGACATATATGATATAATAAGGTCTCTTGAAAAAGCTTCGGATGTTTCCCAGAGTAATGATGGATCTAAAACTGACTGAAATTCCTCAGTAAAGTAGGACATGAATTTGTGATCAGTAAGAATAGAAGGGCTAAACCTCCAGCACCTACTTTGAGGAACCTGCCCTCTAAAGTGATATTGAATAAAGAGAGGAGCATGTTCAGACACAATCATGCTGCCTACAGAGATACAAGCGATCGAATGCAGCAATATTTTTGGTGAGGAGAAGTAATCTATTTGTGTATAACAATAATGGACTTATGAAAAGAAAGCATACTCCTTTTCTGCTGGATGTTGAGCTCTCCACACGTCTACATAATCCAGGTCTTCTCAAAGAGCATTAATAAATTTAGATTGATGAGGGAGAGATGCCCTTGCCTATATCCATACAGTGGTTTAAGTGGCAGTTAAAGTCTCCTCCAATTAATGTATTTTTGACATTGAGATCAGATAATTCATAGAATGCTGTAGCTATGGTGGCCAGAGGGGTAGTATACATTCAAGATGACAATAGTTTACCCATATAATTCACCTTGTAAAATTAGGTATCATCCTCCTTTATCCTTAATGCAATGTGACATTTTAAATGGTACATTTTCCCTAACAAAATAGCAACTCTCCTACTTCTCTTTGTGAATAAGGAAAAGAAAAGTAAATCAAACCCTCCTTTGTTGCAATTTTAAATGTTCTACATCGTTCAAGTGGGTCTCTTGCAATAATGCAATATGAAGCCCCTCCCTTTTAATATGTCAAGACTTTTCACCGCTTAACAGGTGTGTAGATACCATTATCATTCCAGGTACATAATTTTAGCATGGACAGTCTCATCTCAGGTCATAAAATAAGAGATATCCAGAGGTCCCATTGTGTCCAAATATTAAAACGTTGTCATAGTGAAAGATAAGCAGAGTACTCAATAACAAACAACTATCATACAAAGAACAAAAGTATTCTAAATTTGCCTCTTGGCATTCAAATCGAACACTGTCATTCTCATATCTAAAGAGATCTCGAGTGAAAGGGGATCCCTGATGGCAGACGACCAATATACACGGCATGTAGAGTGTTGTCGCCTTTATCAAACCTATATCACAGTTCTGTAAAATTCAGCATATTTACAACCTGACATGGAGCTCACCTGTAACACATGTCCTCAACAATAAAAACAAAAAAGAAGAAAAAGTAAAATATCTCAGGGCACTGAGAACTGTCATCAGGAGTCACTGAGGTTGGGTCCCGGAACATCTGTGTTGACGCACGAAAGGTAACTCTGAGTGAGGCAGGGTAGACTTGTGTGTACGTAGCACCGATGGACTTCAGGCGCTTCTTTACTTCATAAAATCTTTTGCACTTGTGAAGAACAGCTGCTGAGAAGTCTTGAAAAATCATCACTGTGGAGTTGCCGTGTTTCAATGGGCAATTCTTTTTCCCCACTTCCCATGAATCAATAATCCCACACTGTTTATCCTGATAGTTGTGAAATCCTACCAGGATGGCTCGTGGTTTCTGAGAAGCGAAGGGCACGGGCGCTAAGCAGCGGTGAGCTCCCTCTAGTTTGATTTGACCCGTTTTGGTTTCAATGTTCAAGATTTTAGGCAGCCAGGATGCAACACCGATATTCTCCCCTCCGCTTCTGTAATTTGCTTCTCGTGGGGGTCGAGCTCTTCACGGTGGCTTTGCATTGGCTGTGACAATGAACTTGGCTTCTTGTCGATAACCTTAGTGATGGTATCCGTGATCTCGGACACAACTCATTATAAGTTGTAGCTTATAAAAAATTATAAAAATAAATAAATAAATAAAAATATAAAATAAATAAATAAAAATAAGTTGTAGAGTCACAAAACTCAGGATAAACTGTAATTTTAGGCAGGGATATAAAAGAAATAAGCGATATAGTACACTAGCTCCGCATAAAATGTCCTTCCTTAAAGCTTCCATCTTTGAATCTCCTCTATTTCTTTTTCAAGAAATTCAGGAGATGAAGAAAGATGTACAAATAGTCAAAACAGTTCATGCGAGTCATGAGAAGATGATCTCGGAGATTGAAGACAAGGTCAATGAGGCAGAGAGGTATCAGAGGTGGTGGAATTTGAGACTGCACGGTCTACCCGAGGAGGAAGGAGAAGACATCAAACAGAAGTTCATCAACATCTGCCCAGCTGTTATCCCAGAAGTAGGTGAAGTCCTGCACCTTCACGTGGACGTCAGCCACAGAATTTGCAGAAAGCAAAGAGGGCAGGACCCGTCCAATGCTGACTGGATTTATTTCAAGATCAACAAAAGAAAACATGGAAAAATGCAAAAAGTTCAGAATTTCTGAAATCCAGGAAACTTCACTTCGGCGAGGATTTGACAGCAAAGGAATAAACTGTGCCCTAAGGTAGTGCCAGCAAGAAAGGAGGGAAGGAATGCATTCTTTGCGGGTGACAAAGCCATAATTGATGGTAAAGAGCTCAAGTTGTAAGTTTACATAGTTTGTTAAAAAGGAAAGCTGTCTTTTTGTTTTGTAAGAATTTCAAGGCTGATTTTTTTGTACAAGAGACTCATGTATCAGCTTCTGCCTTTTTTTTTTTTTGAAAAATCAATGTTTTGCTTTTGGAAAAATCAACGGGGTAATGATATTTGGATGTCAATAATTCTGCTGGAGTAGCTATTCTTAAAGGTACATTTACAGTTTTTTACAATCGCTATGACAGTTTTTTCAAAACATTTAACAAGTTTCCTAAACTCTTAACGCACCATCACACCTAAAACACACAATTGACAAAACGGTTAATTTCATGCTCAAAATCACACATTGTAAACTAAACCCCAAAACTAATTTTCAAAATACAATAATAAACTACCACAGTACACCATGTCTAGCAAAACACTGCAAACATGTTTTAAAATCAAATAATTATTCAAAACAGTAACACATGTTCTCTTCCAACAGGAACATTTAGTCAATCATAACACATTGACAAAAAAACACTATCATCAGCTGAAATTACAGAAACTGCATTATTTTATGTGTCAGGTCTGCCCTTATATTTGAAGCCTTTCTACATTTTTGTTTTGTTGGGTTTAGTAAATGCATGCATTTTGTTTCTTTTGCTGCAGAAATTCAATACAAAAAAGTGAATGACCATCTTAGAGTAGCTTTATAAAATGTACAGTTTATGTAAAAAAAAATACAGACAGAACTGCTGCAGTACAGACTTTATTTGCAAAAGGACATTACTGCAAGATATACAAATAGAAAAAGCACCGTAATTATAATAAAAAAAAACAAAGTAATCTTCTATTCTGCCCGGTCTTCTGCATTTGGCCACATGTTCTCATCCACATCACACCTGATATCTTCTCTGGCAAGGCATCGTGGGAAGAATCTTTTGGCATGCCTTATCCACCCCTGGCAGTGTTCAGCTGTGATGTCTTGGCATGCAGCATCCATTGCATCCAGGAGGGACATTTGGTCATGTGAACGATGGTCAAAAACCTTCCATCTCCAGGCTGAGAAAAACTCCTCAATGGGGTTGAGGAAAGGGGAGTAAGGGGTAAGGAAATGGGACATCATCCTTGGATGGGCGTCAAATCAGGCTGTGACTGCACGGGAATGGTGGAATGCCACATTGTCCCATGTGATAACATATATTGGCAAGTGGTCTCCCACCTGTCCCCTTTCTACCTCTGGCACCAGTCTTTCGTGCAGGTCTTCTAAAAACAGGAGAAGGCGGTCGGTGTTGTAGGGGCCAATCTGACATTTATGCAGGAGTACACTGTTGTTGGAGATTGCGGCGCACATGGTGATGTTGGCTCTTCTCTGGCCCGGCACGGTAACTGTGGCCCTTTGGCCTATTACGTTTCTCCCACGGCGACGCCTTTTTGCCAAGTTGAAGGCAGCCTCGTCAACATAGATAATTTCATGTGGGACTTGATTGGCCTCCAACTCCATGACTCTCTGAAAGTAATTACACACAGTGTATGTAAATGCTGTGCTGTACTGTATATCTACTGTATGTACTAATGCACTCCAGATTTATAGAGTAGTTTACTGCAAAACACACTGTGTATAGTACAGTAATGACTGTATTGCATAACCTTACCTGGACGTATTGGTGACGGAGTTCTTTGATGCGCTCACTGTTCCTTTCAAAAGGAATTTTGTATAGTTCTCATTGGCAATGGAATAAAATACAGGGAATATATTTGTGTTTCAATTCACAATATAAACAGCTGTTCACTTTGACTTTAGCCTAGATAAGTTATGTTTAGAACATGATGTTATCTGTTCTGACATACAGTGTTAAAGCATTTGTAAATTTGACTGTAAAATTACATTGTTTTGGTCTTGGTTGAGCTTGTCTGTAAAAGAAGTTCAAGCATTTTAAATTGGTGTTAACTGTATGCATTTTGTATCAAAGCAACAAGAAATGTGTTAATTGTATAGCCTACAAAGACGGATGTTGTGCTAACCGTGTTAAGAGTTTAGGAAACTTGTTAAATGTTTTGAAAAAACTGTCATAGCGATTGTAAAAAACTGTAAAGGGAAAATATTGAATTGCGTCATGAAGGGGCGTTACATAAATAAGGAGGACACTGCTGTGGATCAGGCAGGTAAAAGAGCTTTAATAACCTACTTACAATCCAGACAGGAAACCAAAACGTAATCCAGGAATCGTGGTCAAGGTATGGGCAGCGATGGGGCAATCTTTGTCGGCTATCAAGGGACAGGGCAGGGCTCAGGATCTGGGGACAGGTGGGTGTTCAGGCGATCTTCGTCAATACTCAGTCGACTAGGCTAGATTCATCATCGGAAAGACAGAACAGGGTCAGGGCACCAGGCAGGCAAAGGGTATAAGGGGACAGAACTGTTCTAACTCGCAATAGTATGCAGAAGATCACGTGTCTGGCTGGTGAGCCAGGCACGAATAAGTGTGATTGTTCATTAACTTCGATGGAACTCAGCTGTCAGAGGGAGGTGTACAGTTACTGGTCCTATCGGTTCCTGGGGCAGGTGGAGAGAGAGCATTCCGGCCGCTGCTAGACTCCCTTCTCGGGATACCCCGAGAGCATGGAAGAGAAGCCCCGCGTGACATCATAGGGGTTTCCGCAGAGCGGTCCATGACAGAATTGTATCACTCATGACTTTGGGAGATGGTTAATTTTGGTTGTAGAAATTCTGGACAATGTTTTTATTCTGGGCAATATCTATGGGGCATAATGACGGACAAAGAAACAGAATTATTTTTCATGGCTTTCGAAGGAACAAACAGGCACGCTTAGGTCCTTTCAGAAACACTTTATTAAAAGGAATACAAAATAATCAAAACCAAGATATTGTATCAAAACTGATATCAAATAGTATTAAATATTATAGCCAAATATACAGTATATTCATTGAATCATTGTTATGGCGACAAAGTCGAGGCATTACTAATTGAGTCGCAAGGAAGCTCGACTTTTAACCAATCATGCTTTTGGGACCGCCCATCTTATTAACATACAGAGACAGAAATGCAGAAATAAATTAATGTAGAAATGTGGAAATACAGTAATAAATAAATGTAGAAATGTGGAAATACAGTAATAAATAAATGTAGAAATGTGGAAATACATAAATAAATAAATGACGAAATGTGGAAATTCATAAATATTTAAATACGTTAATAAACAAATATAGGAATCCATTTAGCAGTTTTCATGGCCAAACTGTATTTATGTATTTATTTATTTCAGTATTTACTTATTTATTCACACATTTATTTATTTTTAATTATGTCATGTCTAGTCCTCCATAACTTTGGACATGGTTTTTGTTGGTCAAAAGCACAGTGACAATGCACTGCCTAAAATAGCAATGCAAAGACAATGCTCAAAATCATTGGCTATTTTAACGACGTGTGCTTCTCACATCTTCATAGATGGTGGAAACATCTTCAGATGGTGAAGCCTGTCTAGAGCGCATGTCCTGGATACAAAGAACACACATTATTTTAGACCAGAGTTATAAAAGAGCAGCGTTAGAATTCCATCGGAATGTATGCATGGTTACTTTTCTTCTTACACTGAACGAAAATGCAAGTGAACAGTAACACGACAAAAAACAAACACAAATTTCTTCTGTTCCCCAAAAGGTTATCTTGTTATATGAACACCGCTTCGTTTTCAAACATTTCCTCAGGAACAGCTCAGCCATTTCATTCATTCATTAAATTTCACCGCTAGCTCACTTACGTAGTATAATTAGTGTAGGGAGACCAGATAATCCATGTCAGGGAGGACACTTTGAGCTACTTCGGGTTTTACAAACTACTTTCAAATTGAAAGGCTCCTATGCTCTGCTAAATAGTTCAGCTTTTCTTGTGCTTTGACTGGTTTGTTTCCTTGACTGAAAGACTCATCCAGCTGTTTATTTAAATTATCATTAGTGACACATGCATGATTATAGGAGACTGACCAATCACCACACAGCAAGAATCAGCGCTCAAGTGAAATCCAAGTCCTTTTAATTGAAATGGTAATGTACAATTCCTGTCCTAGCTCAGCGTGTCCTCCCTGACATGGATTATCTGGTCACCCTAAATTAGTGAGGTATTGATTAGCCAAGAATCACTGTAACAGTCAATAAGGATATATAAGTAATGGTTGGGGGTATGTTCCCTTTGCATTGGAATAATCATGGCCCAATTAATTTTCTTACAATTTGTAAATATCATTGTCGTTCTCAGTTCTCTGAATACTGAACGTTAAAATCCAAAAGTACATTATTTACTGCCAAAGCGGTCACTCTCCTCACCCGCGTCCTCCTCTCTCTGACATGCGGCTTGTTGGCTTCAGCATACACTGTGTTTTCTTTGGTCACTGCCAGGGAAGATGTAAGAATGTCTGATCACACAATCACTGCTCTATGAATCATAGCTCTATGTGATACATAACAGACGTGTTCAGCTAGACCCACCCATATGTTACTGTGATTTCATTTAGCCTGCAGGTCCTGCCCTGTTCCCATTTCCCCCTCATACCTTTCCTCTTGGCTCTGACGTGGAAGATGCGTCCTATGATCGCCAATACCAGCAGAAACAGAGCTCCAGTGCCAGCAAGCGCATATATTCTGGTATCCAGGGAAACTATAATAACATAAAAGGCAACTGTTAATCACATAGGATAGTTGCTTTATTCAAACTTATGTTGTGAATAAACTTATGACAATTTATGTAGGTCCACACTGCAGAAATCTACATTAATTGGTTATTTATTAACAAAAATTGTCATATTTAATGTTGTATTTAGGAACGAATTAATAAATGTTTCTTTATCCTCATAGTCAGGGGTTAATGTGGGCCGGAACAATCTGGAACATCGGTCATGCACCTTTGTTTAATAAATAAATACATATGATTGGTAGTTTCAGACATCATAATGTAAATTGGGTTTAAAATGTTTTCGTGATAAATTCAGATATTAAACCCCCCCATCCCCTAAACAGAGACTTTTGTAAACACTCTGACAGTTGTATACTTCTGACAGCTTGATTTTAGCACTGTGGTTGAGTGGACACAGAGATTTTTTAAAAGGTAAACTCTAAAAGCGCTGTGATTGGTCTCTGCTCATCACATGGCCCATTCCTGATTTGATCCCAGTGGTCACACCATCTCATTGTCTGACTGAGTCTTGGTGACCCCAAAGGAGCCATGAACAGGTCAAATAAAATATAGATAAAAGGCTGTGTCCCATTTTGATCGAGATCGACCCCCCCAATAACTAACAAATAACTGAAAAAATTACTTGTTCATCGTAGATTGTTTTGGAGTGGTGGTGTATTTCATCTGAAATTATGTGTGAAGTTTAATCTACGAGCTTTTTGCATCTCCTATTCTAATTTAGCTTGAAGGTCACAGTTCTGCTTTGTGGTGGGAAGGTGACACCAAAGTGGCCGGGAGCTTCAGAAGTCCCCGG